TCCTCCTCCTCCTCCTCCTCCTCCTCTTTCTCCTCCTCCTCCTCCTCCTCCTCCTCCTCTTTCTCCTTCCTCCTCCTCCTAGGGTCACCTCGTCTGTCGGACTGTTTGCGAACGGCTCGCCTCGGTGAGCGCCCGCGTCGGTGCTGAGCGCGGGTTTTGGTGACTCCCTGCTTCCAGCATGGATCGCTGCCTCTCGATGCCGCTCCTCTCCTTGCCACTACGGTAGGCCGAACAACATCCATTAGCTCGGACAGCAGTCATCGTCTCTGATACCTGGCCGAAGGTCTGGTTATCAGCCGAACGGCTAGCAGCTACTACTCGACGAAGAGGTGATTTATGTTACCGTCACAGCTGAGATCCATTCTCCGGTCAGGAGGCCCCAGAAGGAGTCGGTTGAGAAAGTAGAGGGCACCACGGGCGCGTCAGCAGTGGATGTCGCTTTGGCCCCACGAGGCCAGCATGGTTTGGAGTGTGATTCCCCGCCAAGCGCGAGCTAACCCAGGAGCGTTCCGAGCAAGACAAGTCTAAAGGCGGACAGTTGGCGACGCGTCCATTGCATTCGTTCCAGCAAAAAATATCTGAAAGCAGAAGTTCCCGACTTGTCATTTTTCTCGCCAGTACCAAAAAATCTGAGTAACCAGGGAGGGTATCATTGGTATCATTGGGCATACCCAGATGGAAGCGATGGAACGGAGAACCCACTGAATAGCAAACGGCTGAATTGGTAGGTCTTCTTCATTACCACGTACGGTCGATTCAGTCATCCGAGCCATTGTCGATTCAGTCATCCGAGCCAGTATGGTCTTTTCAGTTTCGGAAAGGATCGAGGTCAAGTTTGCAAGCTTCCCCATGCCGCCAAGCATGGCACCGCATCGCGAAGACGGGGAGCCGTATTCCGATCAAACAGCATATGCACCCAATCAGGAGACTGTAATGCTTGGTTCCCAAGCCCCACCAATGCCACCTCCACGTGGCCGGGCACAGGAACCGACCCCAGGGGACGGTGCCTTTCCAGTGCTTTCAGTGTCGCAGTCTCGGATATCTCGTGTTACGATTTCTCGTTCACCGCTGGCGTCTCGCAAATCTCAATGCTGCGTCCAGACTGAAGGCTGCGGGGGAAGCGGAGTCACCGAACGTGGGACATATTCTCAGTCGACGTGTTGCTGTAGCTCTGAGCCGTGCCCACCCTGCAGTTTTCCATTCGCTCTGTCCAGTGCGCTGGCCTGCACGCTCCCGCAGCTGCACCAGAACGAAGCGACAAGTGCAATCCAGAGGCCGGCAGGAGAGCATACCCGCGCCCGATGCTTACAGCATCAGGCGTTCGAGTCTAAGGTGCGTGCGCAGTGTGTCACGAAGCGCGCAGAGGCAAAACCTCAGCTGAACTTCACCAGTCCCAGCTGATGGTAGTGCGAAAACAGAGAGAGCTGATCCAGTCTGACTGGGAGAAGCTTGCCCGAACTGCCGAGAGCGCACTGTACAGTCTCAGCGAACGCCTCGCCCGTGGCGATCACGAGCCGTTGCTCGTCCAGGAGTCGCTCTCATCCGAGGCCCGGCAGGCCCCCGCGGCCGAAGATGATGGGCTCCGGGAAGCCTTGGCCAGCCAAGGGCCCTCGGGCGCGCTGGGCTATCGACCAATAGGCTCTGGAGCACTGGGCCGCCTTCACGACCCGAAGACGGGTGGCTCCATAGGCCTCCTGGGTGGGGTCCGAGCAGATGGGGTCGGAGGACCGCGCCGCATCGGCGATGCGTCGGCGATGCGGCTCGGTGTGGAGCCCGTGTTTCTCCACGCCGATGCATCGCCGATGCATCGCCGATGTCGGCGATGCATCGCGGGTGCATCGCCGATACATCGCCGATGCATCGGAGATGCGGTGCGATCCTCCGACCCCATCTACTCCGACCCCATCTACTCCGACACCATCTGGGAGGCCTCTAGTGGCCGAGAATGCGGCGCGCGAGCGCTCAGCCCTTGCCTACAGGATCCAACGGCTCGAACATGTCGAGGAACGGGCTGAGCAGGCGGAGTGGCGAACAATGCCCAAGAGGTGCGCGAGCGGTGCGCCCAAGCCAAGAGTTACGAAGAATTCGTAAGAAGCGCGAGTCAGCATGGCATGGGTGCCCATCGCGGAAGATGTCGGCTTGACGTTCAGACCGAGGCCCACATGTTGAATGCCGTAGCAGTGCATGCTGTTCCAAAGCGGCGCTGAATCAGATCCGCGCAGGTGGGCGCGATCAAGCGCTGGCTGCGGGACAGGCTGTCTACCACCTGTCGCTCACAGTTGCCCGAACCTCGCCGTCACAGGTTGGCCACGCTCAACGACCGCAACCTTCACAGCAACCTCGGCGCGGCGTCGCGTCGGCCGCCCCAGACGTTTGGTCCAGGGCATGCGCTCGGGGCTCGCCTGCCCCCCAGCGGCCTAGTGGAATGTCCTGTTCTGGCGCGGCGGGGGGCGCGCGCAGCTGCTGCGCGTCCCGCTATCCAGAATCCAGACGACCGCGTCTGCGCCCATTGCCTTCGGTGGCAAATCATGGGAGCCTTGTGTACCCTCGTAATTATGTCATCAGCGTCGTCTAGCGTCTGCGAGCCGATGAGATAGCGCCGGCTTAGCGTCGATCTAGCGTCGATCTTGCGTCGATTAGCGTCGATTTAGCGTCGACTAGCGTCGATTCGCAAGAGCCGACAAGATGGTATGGGAGCTCCCATGAGTTGTCCCTGAACATTGCCGCCAGAAATGTTGCAATGGTGACCATCGTGACGCGGCGTCATGCCTTCTCGACTGCCGCGGAAAGACCCTCCCATGCGAGAGCCCCGTTGGGATTCACATCTGCACCCGCCAGGTGGCGATACGGTCGGGGCGTTGGTTAATGAGTATGCCTAGGAGGTTTCAGACCCTGGCGGATTCCTGATCGTATGAGGGCTGTAGTGACATCCATGGCCAAGCCTCAGTCGGACTTCCACAGGCTTCGAGGCCATGGATTCCTTATCCAACTCATCGTAAGAACTTGCCAGATCTGGAACACCGATGTGCCACGAGCATTTCTTTTCGAGTGCCAGTGTTGTTTGTGGCGCGCGCCAGCTATCCCCGCAAGAAAGGCTGATCGGCGCGTGATCGAGAGAAAAAGAGAGGTACCAAACAGAGGCGCGAGAGAGGCTCCTGAGGAGGACCGTCGTAAGCAGGAGCAGTGAAAGCTTCACGCAGCTAGGGGCAAGGCCGACAAGACTGGGGAGGAAGACGCTCAAAGCGCCATCGTTGCAGTCGAGCCGCCCCAGTGGACGGCTGCCACCGGCAATTTCCATGCTATCGGTTCCCCATGCGGCTTCGTCAGGGCTACCGGTGGTGTTTCGTCGGTGCTATCGTTGGTGTTATCGGATCGGCGCAAACGACCGCCGCAGGCGGGCCAGGGCAGTGGTGGTCCTGGAGGTAGGGGATGGGGAAGATGGAGTTAGGGTCAAGGTCAAGTCTGGTCGAGGAACCCGCGGACGAGGAAGTTGAGCAGGAGGAGGGTGACCAGTAGCACGAAGAGGAGGTGGCGGACCAGGGGTGAGGAAGAGGAGTAGAAGGAGGAGAAGGAGGAGCGATGATGATGATGATGATGATGATGATGATGATGATGATGATGATGATGATGATGATGATGATGATGCTGATGACGATGACGATGACGATGATGATGATGATGATGATGACGATGATGATGATGATGCTGCTGATGATGATA